ACTATCAGTATAAAAGGCAATATTACAGTGGTAGGGTAGATTAAACTGATGAGCCAGGCCCTCCCATTATTTTATAATTGCAGTAAGGGCAGTAGAAAAGTGATTTATTTTTAAAAGATTCATACGCGTCAAAAATAGTTCAAATTTTTCTGAGAAAGTATATGTTTAGCATATAATCTTCTTCTTCTTCTTTCTTATCTTCACTTAATCATATCAAGGTATCTAGCTTGTAAAGCATGACAACCATCATGATTGGGTGAAGTAGAATGCGTCTGCCTTTGTCATCAAGACTGGGAACACTACTCAGTGGCAGGCTGACTTAGCTCCAAAAGAAATGGCCGCCTCTGACATGAGGAACAGACGCCATGTGCAGCTGCTCCTAACATGGAGTACAAACGCTGCTCATCCTGTATCCCTGGATTAGGAGCCCTTACAGGGTACTATCAGCCGGGCCAGCTGAGCCCAGGTTTTTTAGCGAGCTTGTTACTGCTCCCCCTCCTCCTTTTTCATCCGGGCTTGGGACCGGCAAAGGCGGAGTTCTTAGCATATAATGAAACTAGTAAATAATCAATTGTAGGTGAGAGCCTTGCTAAAATTTCAATTATCCTTTAAAAATACTGTTCACTAAGTTAACAACTGCTGTCCTCACAGCCCCCAAGCCTATGGTGAAGCCAGACTCCTTTGGAGTCCAGCCTGGCAACCAGATCTCAGTGATTCTGCCCAAGGCCTCAGAAGAGTACGGGCCCATCTCCCACTACTTCCTGGCCGTGGTGCCTGAGGAGATTTTTACCAAGGATCCTGACCACTACCAGCTGGAGGAGGTAAGAATATTTAGTTCCCATACTTTTGTACAAGTTTCTTTGTGGTCATTGTTAATATCAATCCAATACAATAAAATAAGACCTAATTCAAATAATTTATTAGTGTGTGACGTTTCGGCAACAGCATTGTCACCATCATCAGACAAAATAATAAATGATTTATTCTTTTGTCTGATGATGGTGATAATGCTGTTGCCGAAACGTCACACACTAATAAATTATTTGGATTAGGTCTTATTTTCTTGTATTATAATATATAATCCAAATTGTGCTTTATCAATATCAATCCAAGTATTACCATGGCTAGCTACTGTTAAGAATATACATTTTATATCACAGGGTGACCAAATAAATTGTAATAGCATTGTTTCCTTTTTCAGACTGAATGGGGACAATCATGTTACTTTTGTGATAACTTCCTAATTCTAAAGTGTTTCAACTGAACAGCAACATGGGCTGTGGTATAACAAAATCTTACTCCCAACACACTCTTTAATAAATAATATTTGAAATTCTTAACACACACGGTAATAAGACCGAATCCCAAAAAAATAAATAGTGTGTGATATTTCTGTAACAGCGTTTGTTACCATCATCGGACAAAAGTAATGAATGTGAAAAGGAGTGAGAGATCATATGGTTTTACAGGCTACTAACCAAAGTGTATGATTTTCAAGCCCAAAAAAAGATGTTCCTGCCTGGGATTGAACTGGGGGCCTTGTGCGTGGGGAGTACACGTGATAACCTCTACACCACGTAAACATGAAAAAAATTCCCACACTGGGAATCAAACTCGGGCCTTATGGGAAAAATACCCAACGTGGGGCATGAACAAAATGAATGAGAAAAGTATCATAACATGCTTTTATATAATTATTGTTATCAAGTAGGTAAACAAGATAAGGAGAAAATAGTTTTCTAAAAACCATTATCTGCTAACTTGTTTACATTCTTTATAACAGTATTTAAAAACATGCTGGTGGATCTTGATATTAAAAATAAAGAAGGCATATCTTTAACAGGAGCACATGTGTTTTTCAGATGGCAGAGAGCGCCATCTAATGGAACAGAAATCAACTAAACATTGATTTAACTTGTTCCCTGATATTTGGCCAACCTATTTTCTTGACCTATCAAGAAAAGTCATCCACGAACGCGTTTTTCGCTGTTGGTGCTTGTCAGCGTGGAGCAGGCTGTACCACTGCAACCAAAAATCTTTTTTGATCCCAGAGGCTTCTTGAGAAACCATGAAATGGGTATTTAAGGTCAAACTTGCGTAAATACGCTTAACATGAGAAAAAATAATAGAAAAAAATAAAAAGGTCAGGTGTTGCCTGTATCCTGGTCGGGATATGCCTTCTTTATTTTTAATATATAACTTTGTTTCATAAACCTTTGTAGATAGTTTGAGTAAGACCTGGCGTTTAGTCTGCCTAAAGCAAATGGTGCATGCGAGAGAAATAAATTTTGATTAGTTTTCTCATCCATTACTTTTGTCTGGTGATGGTAACAACACTTTTACCGAAACGTCGCACACTATTTATTATTTTTATTTGATCTTATTATATTGTGTTTTAATATATAATCCAAATTATAACTTATTTTTGGAAATATGGTTCTCAAGAAATATCATCTTTACAGAGACCTTACACTGCGTTGATAGATGAGAGAAATTTGGCTCATAATTGCAGTGTAGGTCCTGTAGAGATTATATTTTTACTAGACGAATGGCCCCGGCAACGCCCGGGTTTTACCCGAGTGCGTATATATTTTAAAAACGTTTTAATTCAAATACTATTCGTTACAATTATAAATTGCCGCCATGGATGTCACTCTTGTGAAACGTCCCGTTCCAAACTGTGTGTTTTTAAAATGTTTTCATTAAAATACTATTCGTTACAATTATAAATTGGCGCCGTGGATGTCTCTCTTGTGAAACGTCCCGCCCCAAACTGTGTGTGTCTTGAAAATATAAAAATAAAAATGTGAATTTTCATAAAGATTTCATCATGTCGATTTTTTTTTTTGCATATCACCTACTAAATCGATAGAGATAATTACATTTGCAACATGAATTTAGGTATATTGACTAAATAGAAAACTGCATAGTAATAAAGATCATTTTTTAAAGGCACCATATCGTTTTTTTTTTCAATAAAATCGAAACAAAAATTAACGATAAATAACGATAATTGCCTTAAAAAGAAATTGCCTTAAAAAAAAGAAACATTCGCGGTGATTTTGTCTTGCATTCGTTTATACAATTATTATATACGAATGACCCGGGCAACGCCCGGGTTTTACCCGATTAAATGCTTTTATTCAAATACTATTCGTTACAATTATAAATTGGCGCCGTGGATGTCATTCTTGTATAATATATAAATGAGTTTTAAAAATTGTAAAAAAATGCATCGGCTGGGAATCGAACCCGGGCCGCCCGCGTGGCAGGCGAGCATTCTACCACTGAACCACCGATGGTTATGAAAATTCCCATCCGTGAGCTTCAGACAAACAAACAGACAGAATAAGGCAAATATATAAGTAGATACGAATGACCCGGGCAACGCCCGGGTTTTACCCGATTAAATGCTTTTATTCAAATACTATTCGTTACAATTATAAATTGGCGCCGTGGATGTCATTCTTGTATAATATATAAATGAGTTTTAAAAATTGTAAAAAAAAAAAAAAATGCATCGGCCTGGAATCGAACCCGGGCCGCCCGCGTGGCAGGCGAGCATTCTACCACTGAACCACCGATGGTTATGAAAAATCCCATCCGTGAGCTTCAGACAAACAGACAGAATAAGGCAAATATATAAGTAGATAACATGTCACACATAGGAGAAAACCATATATTACTAAAAATAAAAATTTAAAATATTATTAATATATATATATATATAGATGGCAATATTAAAATTCTATTTCACAAGTTAATAAGACCAAATCCAAATAAATAGTGTGTGATGTTTCGGTAGCAATGTTGTTACCATCTTCAGACAAAAGTGCTGAATGAGAAAATATTTCAAATGAGAATGCAACATGCTGTGATATTTTTTCTCATTCAGCACTTTTGTCTGAAGATGGTAACAACGCTGTTACCGAAATTTCACATACTATTTATTTGGATTTGGTCTTATTACCTTGTGTTTATAATCTATAATCCAAATTGTGCATTATCACATACACTACTTCAACATTTACTACTTACTATGTATAATTTAAACCTTTTTCTTTTCCTAAAAAAAAATTCCTTCTTAAACTACAATCAAAAAGGTAGAAATTTGAATGGGAATTATTTGAGAGATAGGTAGGGATTAGAGAATCATAAGACAGCAGAAATTTGCACATGTTTATAGAGAATGGACAAAAGGAGAGTTATATATTGTGTCTACAGCTGACAGAAACTCCGCTGGAACAAGTGGGGCCCTACATTGCGGCCAAGTTCCAGCGCCGCGCCATGCCAGACAGCTTCCCACTGGGAGATGGCAACACCTACATGGGCTTTGTGAACCGCCGCCTGCTGCCTGACCAGAAGTACAGGATCTTTGTCCGCGCTGTGGTGGACACTCCGCAGAAGGTAGGTGTCTCCTGACATGACATAAAGAAACCTACACCTTTCACCCTCTTTTTTTTCTAACATGATTGCTTCTTTTTGACTCAATCATCAGTTCTACAAGCCTTAATGTGATCTTCTTTCTTATCTCCACTCAATCATATTAGGGTATTAAGCCTGTAGAGCTTGAGGTTTTTGATGGTGTCTTCTGGAAATGAGTAGAGCTTATCAAAAGAGATTTGCATCCATAATGATTGGGTGAAGTAGAATGCGTCTACTTTTGTCATTGAGACTGGGAGCAGTACTCAGTAGCAGACCGACTTAGCTCCAATATGAAATGGCCTCCTCTGACATGAGGAACTGACGCCATGTGCAGCCGCTCCTAACATGGCGTACACATGCTGCTCATCCTGTATCCCTGGAGCCCTTACAGGGTACTATCAGCCAGGCCAGCTGAGCCCAGGTTTTTTAGTGAGCTTGTTACTGCTCCCCCTCCTCCTTTTCATCCGGGCTTGGGACCGGCAAAGGCAGAGTTCCTTAATGTGATGATAGGGCTTGGCTCCTGAGTGGAGATCAATTTAGCAAAACACAAGCTCTCTCTCTCTCTAATCTAACTTTTCTATTATCTCAGTGTTTGGGAAGGTTTGTAGATGTAGTTGTGGTGATTTTATTGAAAATAGGAATTAGTCTAAAAAATAAGGGTGGGGGAGGTTAAATTTTGACATTATATACATTTTATTTGTGGAATATATTCAAAATATGGGCTATTCTTTGAAGTGTATTTTAAATATACATTAAATATATGGCATTATTATATCATCTATTAGAAAAATAAATTATTTAGCTTTTTTTTTTCCTTTTATCAAATAAAATAACTTCCTAATGACATTACTACAAGGAAACATTTATGGTGGAAGCTCTGATAAGTCAGGCCTTGCCACAGGTTGTGTTAAATATACATGGAAATCCTGTTATAAATGCCTCCTCTATAAAAAACAATAGGTCCCAAATTTTTAATCCCATGGTTGTTTTAACCATAGTTATAACAATTGGGCTATAACAACATGAAATCTGGGTCCAGAGTGATATTGCAATGTTTGCCAGTAGTATTTTATACTCTTGTGTTAATTGACAGCAAGTCCCAATATTGGCGAGAGGATCAAACATGGAATTAACACAAAGCAATAACACGCCATCTATACATATAAAACAAAAGGACTTAAAAGCGCGAATGTTTCTTTTATACACAATACAAACTTCTACTGTCCTTACTGCGATGAAAAAAATATATTGGGAGGGCTTGGCTCATCAGTGGTGAACCCTCCCAGCGGTTTCGCCAATTTAATCTACCAGACCATAAGCTCATGTCCATAGTTTTCTTGAAAACCATTTCTGAGATTCCACCCTTCAGTGCTGCGTATATAAGCAGAATCGTCCTATATATTATTAGAGCTCTGAGATGCGGTCTGGTAGATTAAATTGGCGAAACCGCTGGGAGGGTTCATCGCAGTAAGGACAGTAGAAGTTTGTATTGTGTATAAAAGAAACATTCGCGCTTTTAAGTCCTTTTGTTTTATAAACATGGAATTGTTTATAAGGCAATAACATGCCAACTATATATACTGTATATAGGAAAATAAAACCATTGAGCACAAATGTTTCAAACATGGCCCATGTGGAGGGTTTCACAAAGCAATAACTCACCATCTATATATAATAAATGAAAACACCAATACACGAATGTTTCTTTTCACAAATAAATCAAATTTCTAATGTCCCTACTGCAATGGCAGGTCTTGGCTCATCAGTGGCAAAACCACTGGGAGGGTTCATCACTGATGAGCCAAGCCCTCCCAATATTTTTTCATCGCAGTAGGGACAGTAGAAGTTTGATTTATTTGTGAAAAGAAACATTCAAGTCTTAGAGTTTTCATTTGTTAAATAAATTTCTAATTTAAAACACTTGTCATAATTATATAGCAGAATGGAGAGTAGCCCATCCATAAAGTGAGGAAATCCTTGCTTGCTTCAAATTTTCAAGCCTATCAGAAAGTAAACAAATATGGTTTCCTTATCCCCACATCCTGTGTTTGTGCCCTCAGAGCCTCTTCACCAACAGCCCCTTCTCAGACCCCCTCAGTCTGGAGATGGTGGTGGCTCCGGGACAAGCCCCTCCCCTGGAGTCCGGGGCAGGCCAACG